ATGGCTGAAACCACCAGGGACCCACAGCAAGACGAAGAACAGGAAAATCATCGTGGCGCTGATCAAGCGATGCCATCGGCCACATCCCTTCCTCACTTCGCGGCCAGACAAAAACCTTTCCACTCGGTGTAGGCTTGCATCGATCTCAGCATTGGCCGAGGCCAACAATTCCTGGGACAGTGAACACAATAAGCATGAACCTGAGAAGTTGCAAAAAAGTTTTAAAAAAACTCGCCAAAAACATATAAAACCATGGTCTTCAGATGCGTTCGTAGGGCGAGAATTTTCAGAATTTTGGCCGGAACGGCCTCGGACACATCGTTGACAACTTTGGCCACCAAAACAGTGCCCAGAAGTACGTACAGAGTCATAAAAATCTTCTCCTCATCAGTAACAGTGATGTCCCCATAACCAATGGTCGTGACAATCTGCACCACCACGTATAAGGCAGTTGCAGGTTGCCAATCTTGCTGGGTGGTCAAGAATGCCACTCCGAAGAGACAGTAAAAATTCACCAATACCAGGTTGGTCCAGCCGGGGTAGCGGATCCAAATTGGAATCTGCACTTCTGTGTCTCCCTCGTCACTGGAGGAATCGACCAAGCTTTGCATTTCCATGGTGAAACGGGTAGGTCAAACGCATTAACAACAAGAAACGCTCGATGCAGCTCAACAGGATTGGATTGACAACTTTGTTCCTGTGAACCAAAAGATGAGAAGAAGACACTGAGAACTCTGGAGATATCATTCCTCATTCGAGTCTATAAAATATACCATCTATGGTTCAAGAATACGTATAGAACCCATACAGTGATGTCAAGTGCAACATGGAAATGGACGAAATGCTAAACACTTCCAGCCTGTCATTCCGTTCAGCTTCTCTTGCGCGTTCCCGGGCCTTTTGTCCTGAAAGCTACCATTTGGGGTTGGTTTGAATCATAAGAATGGTAATATTGGGATGGCTTATGAATTGGGTGTCCCACATTAAACATGTTCAGCTTGAACTGAGGCTTTGAGCAGGACAAATGTGGATATTGAACTATCAAAACTTCGATTCTCCAGCTAACTCTGCCTGAGACTTCCTTGGATTGGCTCTGATCCTGCTGTCAAAATCTCAAGTTGACATCCCAGAAAGCAAAGCTAAAATGGGTACACCCCCACATTTCTGGGGGGAAAAAAATGCAATCTATCCAAAGTGGCGATTGTCTCTCACATCCAGACTAGCCTATATACAGTAGATATACTTACATATATTTACACATATTTACATATATTTACATATATTTACATATATTTACATATAATCCCCCTTCGGGAAGTGGGGGGTATGTGGGAGACCCTGATTTTATAGTGCATAAAACGGTGGTACCCAGCCCCCCCCCCCCGGGGCACCTCTAAAAAATCAAAAAAACACCCATACCACCATGATTAATGATCTATAAAATCAAAAAATATATAAACCCACAAGAAACACCCAAAAAACACGATTGTCTATAAAATCAGGGTCACCAACGTACCGTTGGACAGCCTTTTAAGGCAACATAACAGGTCTATAAAATCAAAAGTTCAATGACCCCCACTTTGAGGAGTCAATTTCTGGATCCGGAAGATGCAAATGTTGCACTGCAACCTTTTGATTTTATAGTGGTTATTGTTGTCCGTTTACTTTTTGATTTATAGATCCGTTCCCATATTATAGTCTTATTATGTCTTAGTATGTCTTAGTTCTATGATGTTCTATGATGTTCTATGTAGTTCAAGAGTCCCTCACCAAAGGTATCCCCCTGGAGCTCCTGATTTTATAGCTATAATTTGGTGGGGCGCCGCGGCGCAGCCCCCCGATAGCCCTGCCATTTCTATAAAATCAAAGTGTCCAGCCCTACACAGGGATGTACAAAGCTATAAAATCTAACAAGTATAGATTGCCCCCCTATACTGCAAAATGCCTAAAAAATCAGGACACAGCCTTGAAAATTTTCCCTTTTAAAGAAAAAACATGAATCCCAAAGATCACTATAAAATTCAGGACTGGGTTACCTCATTTTGATGGCAACTCTCTCATAGATTGTGAGCCGTATTTTTTGGGGGGCTACCAACCATGATTTTATAGCAGAGAGATCCCCTTGTGAGTTTCAAGAGTCTCCCAGAGACCGCCATTTTATAGAGGTACCTGGTTTCCACTATAAGGGTACATTCTGGGAATCTTTCTAAAACCAGGATAAAAATCAGATTGCAAGAAATACGACTCTATAAAATCAAGAAACAAAAAAGTTGCCGCATGAATACACATGCCTGTTTGTAACCACCAAAGTTCCCTATAAAATCTAGATACCGGGTGCAGGTTTTTTCCTTGAAGGTCATCTACCTGGTCCAGTACAAAATCAGGATCTCCAAGATGGTGGCTTTACAAAGTCTGTTGAAACATGTGCACCCTTACTATTGGGGTACCTGGTCTCTGATGTTATAGTTATAGTGGAACTATTTGAAAGAGATGTCAATACAAGCTGGACCCGGGCCTTTGATTTTATAGAAAAGTTTCTTTTGGGATGGTTGTGGCTTGGGATACCATCAATTTCCATAGTTTGCTGAATCAGGTTCAATTAAATGAAAACAAACACCAGAACTTGGAAAACAATTGCCATTTTGGGACACTTTTTTGGCACCGGGATTGTTGAAGCAAAACTTCCAGATGAAATCGAAAAATTAGTCACTGGTCCCTATTCGGGGGTCCTTCAAACATGAGTTATCAGTTATCCATTTCGGAGTGCTGTTGTGCCTCACTATATGGAAAGCTTTATATAAAGATGTTGGAAGCGAGTAATGACCCAATTTTGGAATTTAGCGCGGCGGGAGGTTACACTTTTAATTTTAAAGAGAGAGAGAGAGAGAGAGATTTGGCCCATATTGACGCCGATCACACGCACTACGTACCCCCAATGATTTCTGAACTATCTGTGGAAAGGGAACGTGAACACGCGCAGTGCTCAAGCAAAAACTCTCTATAAAATCGACAAATTAGTCTCTACTTGGGTGTCCTTCAAACCTGAACTGTCCATTTTGGAGTCCTGCGGTCCGCGGCGCCTTGCGGTATAGAAAGTGGCAAGGATGTTTGGGGCATGTATTGACCAAATTTTGGAGTTTAGAGGGCCAGGAGGTGGGAAACATATGTAAAGAGTCCATTTTCTGGAACTTTTTGAATCTTTTTGATTTTATAGAGGCAATGAGGCCATATTGAAGCCGAGTACATGCACCAAGTACCCCTACTGATTTCCGAATGATCCCCAATCCGTCCCAATTTCAAGCTGCTGAAAGGCAACGTCAACACGCGCAGTTCTCAAGCACAACCTCTCTATAAAATCGACAAGTTAGTCGCTACCGGGGGTCCTTTCAAACCTGAACTGTCCATTTTGGAGTCCTGCTGTGCCTCACGATATGGAAAGGGGCAAGGATGTTTACTGACAAAATTTTGGAGTTTAGAGTCTAGAGCTCAAGGAGGCGGGAAACATATGAATAGAGTCCAGTTTCTGGAACTTTTTGAATCTTTTTGATTTTATAAAGACAATGGGTCCACATTGAAGCCCAGTACATGCACGTACCCCCACTGATTTCCGAATCATCCCCAATCCGTCCCAATTTCAAGCTATGGGAATGGAAAAGCAACGTCAACACGCACAGTGCTCAAGCAAAACCTCTCTATAAAATCAAAAAAATCTTTGTTTGGGGGTCCTTCAAACCTGAACTGTGCATTTTGGAGTCCTGCTGTGCCTAACGATATGGACAGTGGCAAAGATGTTTGAGGCGTGTATTGACCACATTTTGGAGTTAGAGGGCAAGGAGGCGGGAAACATATGAACAGAGTCCAGTTTCTGGAACTTTTTGATTTTATAGCGGCCGCATTCAAAGGCACAACCTTTAAAAAAACAACAAAAAAATAATGTGTTGTTTTTTTTGGGGGGAAGGGCTCCCAAGAGGTACCTGAAACCATCTAGAGCTAGTTACCATCTAGAGCTAGTTTGAATCCATCTCTATCTATCCATCTGTCTGTTTCTCTTTCTCTCCCTCGCTCTCTCTATCATATCTATCTATCGATTATATTCTCACTATCTCTAAGATGTGGATCACCTCAATAACTATCGCATTAGTCAGCTGCTGTATTGGCAGCTTGTTAGACCCATTCCCCGTCGGTCTTGATAAAGATGTTAACGGGATGCGGAGATCGGTTACACAACAAATTTATCTCAAAAACCTTCCCTCTATTAAGTCAGGATCAGTGGGCCAACAAATCAGAACCATGCCAAAATAAAAAACATCTCTGTAAAGGTCAGGTGCCTGGGCCCCCCTGAATTGGTCATAAGCCACATGTTGGCTTACAAATGGTTTACGAAAGGCCTTCTATGAAATCAGGTTTTTATTTTTGTATTCTTTTTGGACGCTTTGTGCACAGACCTCATCTGACTAAAATTTCCATTTCAAACAATACATGGGTACTACCATTAAATATATATACATTTATATATATATATTGATTATATATGTATATAGGAAATAGAGAGGGGTATGCAGAGAGCATAAACACCATACGCCAAACAACAAAGAGGGTGAACATGTTGTTTTTTTTAGATAGTGGGCCATGATTTGATGTAATTTGCATTGCTTGCCTTGCTAACCAAGGAATGCAAAGGCAAAAGTGTTGATTTTATAGTGGATCTTTTTTTGAAGTAACAGATTGGAGGAGGCTGTGTGTTTTGATTTTATAGTGGGACTTTTTTGGGGGGCAACAGATTGGAGGAGGCTGTGCCTTATGATTTTATAGTGGGTTTATTTTGGACTAACAAATGGATGATTTTTTTGTTTTAATTTTATAGGTTTCCTCTGGTGTTGTTTGATAGTATTTGATAGTCTTCAAATCTTTTTGATATTATAGACACGGTGTTGGTTTGTTGGCTTAAACTAAAGCAATCAATCGTTCTATTCTATGAAATCAAAGAATCAAAGTGTACAGCCCCCACGAAAAACATGAGATGTTGAATACGTGTTTTGTGACCACTTTTTGGACCAGGTGATTGCAATACTCTTATGATTATGGGGAACGCTTGCGCGCCTGATTTTATAGCTGAAATACCCGAGGGGATATCAAAACAATCAGGCAATTATTGTTCTGACGTGTTAGTGCCAGCCAGGATGTTACATGAACCCCCAGGATATTTATCTAATGTATTCTAACGTTGTGTGCATGATTCATTGAAGCATCATTGACCGTGATTTGATGGGATTTGTATAGATTTACATTGTTTGCCTTGCTAACCAGCACCCCCTGGTCAGCTTGCAGGCTTTAATTTGAGCCAACCAACCACCACAGTGTCACACTGAGTCTACAATATCAAAAACATTTGAACACGATCAAACAACACCAAAGACAACCTATAAAATCAAAAAACAACAACACAATCATCCATTGTTACTCCACAAAACAAAACACTATAAAATCAAAAACACAGCCTCCTCCAATCTGTTGCGTCAAGAATAGATCAACTATAAAATCAAAATTTCTTCCATTGCATTCCTTGTTCACAACCAATCACTTTATTCTATAATCAAAGTGTACAGCCCAAAAAACAACATGAAATTTTGGAATTTTGTTTTGTGACCACTTTTTGGACCAGGTGACCGCTATAATTTTCTGATTATGGGGGACGCTTGCGTGCCTGATTTTATAGCAGAAATATCCAAGGGGATCCAAAGGTACTGCGCACAATTGCACACCGGTGCCGCTGAGCTGATGGAACATTTTTTCCGCCTGATCTGCTGGTTCTCCATCATGTTTGGTTTTTTTTTGGAAATCACAAGCATCATTGACATTAAAATTGTCGATAGGGACACGGCAGGGTGTTGAAGTCACCTGACCCTACCCCTGGGCCAAGCTAGTTTTTGAGCAAAATGGAAATGGTGTGCGATTGACAATTAGTCATATAAACTTATATAAATATAATTAAATATATATAAATCAGACAAACAATGACAAACATATATAGCAAACATATGCAAACATCAGCAAACCATCACAAACCAACCTGCTTGTCAAATACTATCACTATAAAATCAAAAAGCTCAAGCACAAATTTTAGATCTATAAAATCAAAAAGTCAACCTCCAGTGAAACGTGTCCACTTCAGTCCACTTCCAACATAGTAATCACTATAAAATCAAAAGGGAGGGGGGTACCCTGTACTTGCACCAGTCTATAAAATCAAAAAGTCAGGGACCCCAATGTTTTCTGACAACAAAATGTTTACATAAAAAAAAAAAAACAGTTTATACGGACCCTGGCGTCCCTGATTTTATAGAGGATTCCCGGAGGAGGATTACATATATTTACATATATTTACATGTACCATCTGGTGATTTAACATAGCCATGGAAAGATCCACCGTTTTTAACAGGTAAACCATCTATTTTTATGGGCCATCTATACCATGGCTATGTTAGTCATAACCAGAGGGTATATATAATATATAGATATAGATATTACGTTTATCCAGCAGATTTGCTTCCCCTATACTCTCCATACCAGGTTTGCACTCTGCATCCCACTCTGGGCCGCGGAGCTCTCGCGTTCGCGCTCAAGGTCTTCCCTGGCGGTTGGGGATTTGAATGGATTTCTGCAGAAATATGGGATCCAACTGGTTTTTACTGGCTTTTTGACTGATTTAACCGTTAATTTAACCAAGCAGAAATCATGGATTTCTTCATGGATTTCATTTGGACATCTCCATGATTCAATGAGTGTTCACTGATTCAATGGTTTAAGCAACGAAAATGAAGCGAATGATGGGAAACTACAGCTTTACCTCCTAATTCCTTGATACAGTTGTTTTTTGTGGGAAATCCTCTATAAATGGCTGTAAACGGTGGGTATAAAAATCAACAACAGCGGGACCATTATGGAGATAGTTCAAGGCACATGTATTTCTATATGTAAGCAGCAACATGATATGATTTTGTCTCCATGGGAGATACCGTGAGATACCCTAAAAATATGGTACTTTCAATGGCAAGTATGACAATGAACCATCAGATGGAATGGGCTACCCTATTCTTTCAAAAGAAATGACTCAAACATGAAACTATATGAATCAAAACCCGATCATTACCAGAATAGTTGATAGCGATCGATGTTCATCCACAACATGGTAGAACAGTACAACATAGGTTTTGATGGTGTGAGCGTGACTAATTTCTGCTCATGCGGCATGTGAGAAGATAACATTCCGGCCTTTCCCTTCTGTCTTTGCGCTCTCCCTGTGCCAGGTCAAAACACAATTGCTGCGTTCAAGAAATTCTGCAGATTTTGCAAAGCTCAAGGTGGCCACCTTCTCTTTCTTTTCCTTCTCTGCTTTGAACGGAACTTTGTCTTTTTTCACTTTTTTCTTCTCTTTGACCGACTCCTTTGTCACCTCTGTAGGCTCCTCCTTTGTGTGCACTGACGCAAAGACAACTCAGAAGGAGACTCCCCAAAGAACAGCATCCATGCGAGCCATTAGAAATATCCCCATCCTATCCGATTGTACTAGTTGCTTGATAGGTTTCCCTATTCTGGATTGTCATTGCTTGTCATAATCCCCAACAAAAATTGGGTAGTATAAGTCCCAACATATGAAGCAACCAGGGTATTCTCCTTTAGTGTACTGTTGTAATCCTCAACAAATTTGGGTAGTATATACAGTATCACCCCCCTGTAATCATGTCATTTCGTTTTGATGCCAGAGATGGCCAATTTTTGGACGTTGGCTGCGCTCCTCTGACTTCATGGTCCTTCGCCGGGACCTCAGAAGGCACCATCTTGTATGGGTTTGAAGATTGGGCACCTCACCCTCCATTTCCAGACAAACCCATGCAAGGCAAGGATCTTCAAGGTTTTTCTCACTGGGAACCACTGTGGGATTATGGTAGCCCCACTAGTGTTGCACTTCACCACTGCATTTGGCCAAAAATCAGGAATGGAATCCTGCCCAAATTGGCATCAAATCGAAAAAAGGGAGAAACATAATGAAAAACTGTCTTTCAAAAAGATAGCATCCAAAAAAAAAAATAGTACCCTCTGGTAAACAGCCACATAACGAACTGGAAAATCACCATGCTATTAATGGGGAAATGCACTATTTCTATGGTGATTTTCCATAGTTATGTGGAAAGTATTGGAAAGTGATGCGGTCTCGCCTGGACCTTCCTGGCGAACTGCGGATGTCATCCTCCAACGGAGGATAACGGAGGGACTCTTGAGGTCGGTGGATCATGGTGGATCAAACCAAGCATTTAATGGATCAAGAAATATCTAAATATCCAAATTATGGATAGAAAATGGACATCCAACTGAGGTCGTATCCAAGTTGTTTCAATAGTTTGGTCCCCATTGGTACCTCGATGACTCGATGACTCGACGGATATCCACAGGATGTTTTTTGATGAACATATCTAAAAACCAGCTGCAGCATACATCTCCATAATCTCCTCCGAACATCCTTGGCAGTCAACATGTTGATGTCTCAAAGATTCCTTGAGGAATTATGTATATATGTATCATCTAATGAATCTAATATGTATAGTATTATATATATACACATAAATACATCTCCATAAATCTTAAAAACAAATAAAAGAATGTTAATCACCTGGTAATCCCAAGCAAACCTCGCTTCTGTAGACTTGGCCCGATTTGCCGCACATGGGCCCCCTTCGCTTGGCCGGTTCCAAGCCTGGTTTTGGTTCGCCTCTGCATCGGAGCCATCACAAGCTCCACACGGATCAGAGGCAGCCCCTGCGCTGCGGATTTCTGCGGAATTGACCGCAGATGTTGGTTTTTCTGGAGGGTACCTTGACGGAGAAAGCCAAAGGAATTTCAGAATGGTTTCACTCCTTGCTACTAGGGATCATCTTTTTCTAAGTGATTCCAATAAGACATCGTCTTTTCAGCACACACAGCCGCAAGCTAGGGGCCGGTTTGCCATAGTGCAAGTTCGCAATCTGATCTTGGACCCCAGAGCTGTCACCACCAAAAGTTGACTTTCCCGACGTCACTACCGATCCATCTTCCAGAATGGCGGCAAATGCACCAAGCGCGGCCTGAATGTGCCGCACGCTGCTGAGTTGATCTTGGACAGCAGAGCTGTAAATGACAGATCCATCTGCTGGGATCGCAGCAAACGCGTTGAATGCGGTCTGAACTTGGACAGCAGAGCCACTTTCGCCTTTTGGACTCGCCCAGACAACTCATCCCTCTTTCAGCTCTTTCAGATCTTTCAGGGCAAATGCACACCCTGTGGTCTGAACTTGCTGCGCAATGCTGCACACTCCTGAGTTGATCTTGGATAGCACCCCCACTGTACTAAAATGCAAAAGCCCAGCTGCTTACACAGATCTGCGCTTGGAAATTTGGGCCTTGAGCCTAGCTGGACCCCGAAATGGCCCAAGAATTCGGTACCGAGGCCCATGGGCCCATGAGTCTTGCGGGATGAATTTTGGCAGAAGAATTGCGTAGTAAGTGCCTATGAGAATCATATTGCAGTGGCATGCCGTACCTTCACAAGCTGCAGACCATGTTTTGCCTGTGTTGACACGGCCCCCAGCCTGCGAAAGGGTTCTCATCCTGGACAGAAGCAGTGGCTGCCAGCTCAAGAAAGACAGCGTGCAAATAAATCTGCAAACACGATAACTATGAATGGGAAGACACTAAACAAAATTCCCCTTTTGGGTCGCCCACCCCATTAACCGCTCCCTTTCAGCTAAACCCATCTCCGCACAAGGCCCAGACCATTCGCAAGATATGCCAACGCAACTCGCTTCCATCCTCATGCCGCTGCACCAAGAGCTTCTCCTCCTCATCCACCTGTCACGTTCAGTACGGAAAGGTCGGTCTACATGGTAGTTGAGACAAAAAAGCCCTGCAGCAGTGCCCAAAACCTTCTGTCATACCGTTCTATTGCCTGGTAACAAGTAGCAATCCTATGTTTAAACATCATTTCCAGGTTGTCTGTAGCTGCATTCCCTTTTAGCTGAAATCCTCATCTTTTCTGGTCGAATGTGGCTGGGCACTTGGGGTCCAGACCTCAATTGTCCCAGCATCGCTGGAGGCATCGTAGAACACGCCCGGCTGGGACTCGGCCTGTGGAGTGGGACGATCAGACACTTGCTTTTCCCAGAGGAGGTGGTTGGCTTTGGATGGTATTCCCATTTCTTGGGATACCCTCTGGTAAACTAACATAACTATGGAAAATCACAATTTTTCATGGGAAAATCCACTATTTCTATGGCCATTTTCAATAGCTATGTTAGTCATTACCAGAGGGTATAGGAACCATATCTCGCTTGCGTATCCATTCTTGCTTCGTAAAGATCGCATTTTTGGATGGCGCAGCCCCATGTTCCTGCCTACCTGGGCCATCTCAAATGCTTTTCCCTGAAAAAACCTGTGGCTGCGTGGCTCAAAATGAAGGTAGCAACCAACCTAAAAATAAAAAATCACAGCACCAAAATTTAGGAGGACCCTCATTTTTGAGTTATACCCCATTTCAACCATTTTAATGACGTTGTGTATCTGCCCCTTTTTTTGGCCCAGGTCTGTCTTGCCTCCGACCAAGCACTTCGAAGCACCTGCGCTGGAGCTGTGGGATCTACATCAGAGCTGTCCGCAACTTTTTTCTGGCCTTGAGAAGACCCGGGCGTTCCACCTGGCGGGATGCCGAAGCCAAGGTGCGGAGATTTCGGACCGAGACCCTGGAGATTTGGTGACGAAGCCAATGTTTGTTCCATGTTCCCCATCCACAAATGAAAGTATCAAAGACACATCAAAGATATCCCTCAACAAATGCAGGTTGTAAAATGTGAATACACCCAAATCATCCAATAAACACCAATAAACATCCAATAAACCATCCATTTGGGGTACCCCCCAGCAACAAAATGGCGATGCACACCTGGCCCAGGATGGCATGGCTCAAGCTGTGTAGCTCCAGCTGGGCGGCTTGGCCTTGTGATGACACCGGATTGTAATGGATGTATCGTGAAAATCTTAAACAAACCTGATCCTACCGAATATACATACATAACATACATACAAATAAATTATGTATTTATGTATATATATATATACAACATACATTATCTATGTATTGATTCATTCATTTATTTGTTTATTTATTCATTCATTTTATATGTATGAGAATCAGAGCAAATGGGGATGAGCCAATACCTGATACTGATTGATGATGTGGAAGGAATAGGTACTCCCTGCCCATGTTTGTTGAATACTGAAGCCTGGCGGAATGTATATTAGAGCAGTTTTTCATGTGGGGGGCCAATTGAGGGTAAAATTTTCGATATTGAGCCAGAAAGGAATCATTTCCCCATTTTGCCCATATCATTCCAAGGCACAGATTACCCCAGTGATAAACTGATTCTACACCCTTCTGGCCTACGGGACCCTCGTAACGCGCGGCGGCACATGACCTCGAGAGATGTGTCTAAAAGTCTCCCTTAAAAATTTCCAATGACATCACTGTCCCCCGAAATGACAGGAGAAACGACAGGATACACCATTTCAATCCATTTCAAATGGTTTGCCAATGTTTGTGCCGATCATCTTGGATGGGATCTGCCCCTGGCCTGGGGCTCAAGATCAAGGCAAAAAGACCTGGCGTCCAAAAAAAACCTGTGGTCCCTGAGGAAATCTCAGCTTGGCCATGTGAGCACCCCATGTACAGCCCCGTTTTTTCGGCCGCCTCGTGGCTTTCTGCGGACACTGGCCATTGGTTGGATGAAAAAGAAAACGGTGCCTGAACTTGCGAACAGCCAATAGCCAACCAGCTTCTCCGGATTGTCGCACAATTCCAACACCACCTTGGTCCATGCAACACAACTGCGATTCAACAGAACCTCCATCACAAAGTGAAGCTTTGCGCCAAAGTCAGACCGGAAGATCTCGCCTGTCTTTGAAAGTGGAATAAAGTGGATGCTCTTTGTGATGCTCTCAGGCTGCAGCATCCCTTCCCAGGCCCTTCCCAGGCCCCCGTGCGGTGCATCGCTCAGCCAGTCTCGTCCAGTGAGCCGAGGAATCGGAGGAATCACTCGACGTCGACGTCTTCGCCAAGGTGATGCTCTCCGCCTTGGCCGATGACCAGGATGACCAGGGGCAGAGGCCGCCTGCTGAGGAACCAACATTTTTCTATGGTTTTGAAGTCTGAAACTGTCAAGTTGAGATGTTGATAGGTGGACCCAACGGCCAACGACCGCAATTTCAACTTTCTGCTGAGTTCTCACGCTTCTTTGAGCAGCTCTCCCGCACTACTAGCCTCGCGTTCTTGCACATGTTTGATCAACATGCGACCCCATCAAACCCAGACATTTAAATATGTCGTCACTTTTCTACTGATGTTGTGATAATCCAAAATATATTGAATATATTGGATGGTATAACCCAAAAAATATCGTCATCAGGGGTGTCTTGCTGCTCACATGTTGCCGTGGTCCACCTCCACCAGTGCTCCCGATTCCAGGCGACTGCAAACCTGGTGCTGACGCTGAAGCCCTCCAGGGTGTCCTTTGAAGATGGGTAAATGATCCCAACATCTTGGACCCAGATGGGATGGGGGAAGAAATTTGGACCCAGACATACCCAGACCCATAAAAAACCGCAGCTCAGTTGCATCCTGCTACCAATAGACATCCGCGCCTGGACATAGATCTTGCGACCCGACACCTCTGCCTCCAATCGAAAGAGATGTGGCGAGGAGCACACCGCCTGCCAGCGAATAGCACAAGATGGTGCTACAAATCCAGACGGGGATGAACTACGAGTTGCTTGGAATGATGATCTCATAAAAATATATAAAAATCATGAGTCAGTTCATGAGTCAGGCTGTTTCAAAGTTGCTCTTCTCGCTTCATTCTCGGTTCATTGGGTTCCCCCTTACCACTGGTTTTCTCCATTGACAACTTGAGACCCGAATCGAAGCATGGATGGTGCTGCAGGGCCTGGAGATCCTCCAACTTTGGCCCTGATTCCACCCGCCATGCTCCCTCACCTGACAATCCCATGCGAGCAGCTGTCAAGCAGTAAGGTATAATACAATTAATACAATGTACATATACAGCACATACACACTAAATCCGCCCGCACCGAAGGTGCTGGGGCGTGATCTTCCGGATGGCACTCGTAAAAGGTTACAGGTTTACCTGGGGGGGGGAGGCCATTTTTCGGCCAAAACCTCCTGTTTTTGATAGGTCGTGACGCTCGCCTTCAAAAAACACTGTAAAAAACAGTACGGAAGACACCTGTTCGTGAACGCGCCCGTCCAAAATCGGCAAGCGAAAAGTGAAAAAAACCCGTGTTTTTCAACTTTTTGACCTCAATTTTTTGGTTTGCAACATCTTTTTTTGCGGTTCCGCAGGTGGCCTGGCCCGGAGGCGGATTTTTGAGTTTTTGGACCCGTTTTCGGACTGATTTTCGTCGTTTTGTGATAGCAGAAACACTGGTTTTTACAGTGTTTTTCTGTTTTCTGCATGCTTGACGGCTAGCTTCAAAACTTCCAAAAACCTCGTAAATTACGCTGTTTTATGTTACGGTGTGAATGAAAACATCGTAAATACCAGTGTTTTTTGACGTTGGTTAAAAAAACACTGTAAATTACAGTGTTTTTGGCCACCTGACCCTCAAAAACCATGGTATTTGCAGTGGTTTCTGCTTCTCACCGCGCAAAAACACTGTAAATAACAGCAATTTCGTCGTTTTTTCATGTTTTTAGTTATTTTTTGAACTGCGTTGGTCCGCTATACATGGCCATCAAATTCTTCGCGTTTTTTTTTTTTCCGACAATCAGTACTTTCGGATGTTTTTGGTCTCAATGCCCCTGCTGTGTGAGCCCAACGATGCGGTGCGGGCGGTTGCCGTCGCGAAGCGACGTGAATATGATAGATATATATATGTGTGTGTGTGTGTTGTAACTGCTCATTTGAACTTGATTTAGATTTGCTTTACTATTTCTCTCGATGTGGTGGTTGATTACTATGTTTGAAAGCCATGTCAACTAAAGGTCCCCATTGAACCACGCTATACTCCTGCCTTTGCTGACCGAGCTAGCGCGATCGGTGGGCCCGGTGGGCCCCACGGCAAAGCCGGCCTGAGCCAACAGTGGTCTAGATTGGTTTCCCGCTTATCCCCTTCCCCGATGAAAATGATGAATATCATCGCTATAGTGAGAGTATTTGGGATATCTATCCCCTAACTTCTGGAAAATCAACGGAGATTTGTTCAAGAGCTTGGAGTCTTGGAGGATAGATTTGAAAATCATCCATGAAATTATATACCGTAAAATCATGTAAAATCCCAGTATATAAATCCCTCCAAAATCCATGTGAAATCCACGTAAAACCAACAAAAAAAAAACCTTTTGTAGTCTCCTGATGCCGTCCTGGAATCGCCAAGGTCGGGACGTCAATCAGAAGGCGAGAAGCCAGATCAAGATCCTGGAGAGATATTTTGGATGGTTCATCTAGAAATATATGGGAAAATATATGGAAAATATCGAGAACATCATCTGGTTTGGTGGCTTCAACCGGTGATTCGTTGTGAGAATGGCACCAAAAATGAGCCCTCCTCGCAGCGCACCAGGAACTGCTCAAACTTCCTATCCTTGGATCAGTCGTGCCAGCCGTGCCGCATCATCAGTTCCGGCAGAGCTGGGAGCAGTACCGATGAAAAGCTCAAGGTTTGAAGTTTGTGACTGGAAAGCAGATGACCTCAGCATCTGGTGCTGGTTGAGTACCAGAGTACCAACTCTTGAAGTCTTACGGAGCTGGTTGAAGGCATTTAAAATACCTCTCACATCATAACATCATGGCCACCAGCCAGAGCCAGCTCTCTAGAGCTATCCCCAAACCCATTACCATGGCGTGTTGTTCCATCAATGGATTGGTTCCTGAAAATTGGAACCGGAACCCCCGCTCCCGTTTTGCAAAAACACCTTGGTTTATGGTGAAGCTGTTCCCTTCAATCCATTGAATACACCATAATACACCTGACCCAGCAAAAAACCAAGCGACGCAGTCGCCAGGCACCTCCACCCTGAAAGTTCTGCGAAGCTGTTGTGACACACTTCCAGTGCTTCGTCTCCTGCCCTGAAGCGCCTGAAGCGCATGTGCCAATCGTTCAGAACAAGACAACACAATCGCATATCCCAAGAGTGGAAACATGCCTACCCTTTTCAAACATCAACCAGAAAGACCAGAGCAGCTACAGGCAGCACAACCTGCCTTCAGCTTGTGGCTCCAGCAAGACATTCCCACCTCAATCCGCAAGTCACTTTGGATTCAGAAACACCCTGAACAGATGCAGTGGATCATTTGCCATGTACCCCGGTCCCCGGATGGAAAACCATGGAAAAGCCAGCCAGTTTTTACCGAACACAACTGGCCGCAGGTGGATCAAAAGAGGGGTTGTGCACCCCAACTCCATCCCCACGAAGGTGGGAAGATACGTCGCCACGTCCAATTCACGGAACAAGTCGTCCGGGAAGGACGTCCCCGTTTTCCAATTTTTAAATCTTCTGCAGTCCTACTTTCCAAAACGCAGCAGGCACTGCCTCTTGCCAGATGCGCTATCTTTCTTAATAATTGAGCAAGTGAAACACGTGTAAAGTCAAACAGCATTGTAATGGAATGATTCATTCAACACTTTTGCGATCTGGTCTAATCTGTCCAGAAAGGACATTTGTCCTCAATCTGCCAAAATTGGTAGACTCACAAAGGACGAAACAGTGCTATAGCTTGCTCATTGTACCTCAATCCAGCATTAACTGTTCGACATGTAAGTTGTAAAGATGTGTAAGGCACATCTGAATGCACAAACTGCAATTTTGCTGATAAATTGCATTCAATATATTCAATTGCAAACAGTTGCTGTTCAGGTGGCAATTTTGGTGTTGCTTCGCTCATCGGGGAAGGCATAGAGGCAGCATTGATGTCAGCACATTCACGCCTCGTTGGGGGTCCGAAAAGGCCGATAAGAATCAAGGATCCCATTCTTAGGACCTTCACAAAGTATCATGATGTATGACTTTCCAGGGAAAACCCAGGGAAAACATGGGAAAACAACCATCAAAATGATCAACCATGGAAAACAACCATGGATTTTGGGCACTGGGATGAAGATCGCCAAGACCAAGCGGCTCTTGCTGTCAAAGGAATGGTCCGCATCTGGCAGAGTGTCGGGCCTTGCAGGTTTTTGTTGACGCATCGCCAAGCCAGGACAAAACCCTCCCTGCCAATCCATGACTTCACGTTAGCACATCCAAACCTCCTGAGGCTGCCACGTGCAGTGCACATCCTTGGCCTTCTTCAATGTTTGTGCCAACAGCTGTCGGTAGGTTCCAGGTGTCGACCTGTTGCGATTGCCCCACACGGTGAAGACCTTCATCTTGCCAGCACCAGGCATGCGCAGGGCCTGGCACAGCTTTGAATCCACTGCAGCTGGGGTTGTCATCTCCCAACCCTCCCAACCCTCCCAACCCCAACCTCCATCTTTTGAGCCAGGAAGGATGGGAAGAGGACGATAGGACCTCACAGCGAGAGCGACCTGACGTATCACCGGGATAACCCCACAGATTTCTGAGAGCTCGGCTGAAGAGGACCATGGCAGACACCTGGAGGGGCAAGGCATCTCTGATTACCGGGCTTGGATCCCCTCAAAACAAAGTGTGTCCGTACTGATACTAGCCATATCTAGCCATTGATGTTGAGCCCATTCCCAACTGGAACCTTTGATAATGAGCAGATATTGACAAGTTTCAAAACTCTTTAGAATGGCAAAAACTAGGTCCCTCAGTCCAGCGCGGCGCCTGCTTGGGGAAAATGTTCAGCAAGGATGCATAGAGCGCAATGCCTGCACCCTTTCCGAAGCCCATGATCACCACCTGATCGGAATTCCCTAGAGAAGGACACAGAAATGTGGGGTAGGCCGAAAACAAGATGACCTTGAACTTTCCGATGATTTAGCCCATCAAAATTGAAGTTGTTGGGACAAACTTAGTTTCTTTCCCAATGGTCCAGCCAATCAGTTCAACAACATAACCAGCTAAGCTACACCTATATACCTAAACATGACTTTTGGAAATGGTCCTATTTGAACATCATTAGGATCCATTACGCAGATGATCTTCAGCAGTTTTGCTGCTAAAAGTCCCCATCATATCTCCATAAAATGGTATTGAATCATCAACCAGCCACACATGTCTAGTGATGAGTCATCATTCGAATGACTCATCAACCATGATCAACCATGTTTTTTTACAAAAATGCTGAATCATGATTTTCATTTGTTTTCCCCATGAAAGTCCATTGTGATGATTCATTGCTATTCATTCTCATTTTCCATGAGACTATCATGGGGACTAATTTGTGATATTAGTGATTCCCATCCCATTCATATTCATATTCATGAATCATTTTCCATTAATTAATGATTCCCATTCATCATATTAATGGGATTCAACCATCAATAATTAAGATCTTATAATGATATAGATGGCCAATCAGATTCCCATGTTAAAACATGACATAAGAATCCTTGGAAGTTCACCACTGGCCACTGGCATCAACGGCGCCTTGTCCCAGTCGAGGCCGAACTCCCCCAGTTTGGGCTCGATGGATTCCAATAAGCAACGGCCCAAGAGCTCCACGTCGTGCAACATATCCAGGTCCTAAGAGCGGCGCTTTTTAAATGACGAAGTCCTAAGACTTGAAGATAGATATCTATGATATCTATGCTATCTATGATATGTATGATATGTATGATATGTATGATATGTATGATTGATTGTATATATTTCTATAATATGTATCATATGTATCATATGGTTGCTGAGCCGTAGCTGCTGAAGCCGGTTTAAAATATATATATATCTTTTAGAAATTAATTTGCATTCATGTCTGCAAATTTGGGGCGGAGGGTCACGTTTGCAATGAAACAGTCAAAGACATTCAAAAAGAATAAATGTGCAAAAATCTGACAAGACAAGGAGTGTAAAAGCCAGAAGAGGACAAGGACAGCCACAAAAAACACCCCAGCTTTGCCTGGTTCTCGAAGCCTTGTCGATCTCGGAGGTAGAAGGATCCATCCACCACTTCGGGCGATTTCAGGGAGAACTCGTTGAAAGCCTGGCCGCAGAAGTCGCAGAAGTTTGAAAAAACAATGCCCAAAAATCACAGTAGTTGACGAGTTGACGACCCCATGACACTTTGAAGTGCTTGAAAGCGTCAGGTCTACGCAGATGGGGTGCACTGGTCACAACTTGATAAGAGCTGGTCTCGACGCTGGACAAAACTGCAAGTGATTCAGCATACTACTATGGTGCAAGTTGGTTCTATTATACCACCATCCCGGTTCTTCACGGTTTTAGGTCAATATAGCATCCCAGCAAATCGTTGGCTGGCATTCTTACAGTATACTGCTTGTTGCTACATTCGTGCTGGATTATGCATGTATGTGCGTGGGCCTAAATCAATGAATTGCCCAAATAGTTCTACCATGTTCTACCAAACGGAATTCCTAAGTCATGGGGCTACCCCAGTCATCATCCACTTTATTTTCGGATTTTCCATGAAATAAGCCATCCAGCGAGCTTGGGGATCCCCCATGGCTATGGAAACCCACGCCTCACCGGCAGGATGATCAGACCAGGCCAAAGACACCAGTGCTGCACTGGGGGCTTGGGCTGAGATGTCCTGGAAAAGCGGAGTTCAGCTGAAACAAAAATCGTGGGATTTCGTGGGATTTCATGGGGTTTCATGGGATTTCTGGCAACTCCACCAATTTCAAGGTGGCGTTTATAGAAAGAGGCTGGGAAAGCGAGAACTTTCTACTTGGACCCTGCGATCCCAGCCCTGGCTGTCCCGCATGGCTGCAGCGTCAGACTTTGGATCGTCTCCCACCCAAACCAACAGGGCTGAGGGGTTGGAGGTATTGCCACCTCAGCTGGTGCCATGATGCCATGGCAAGGATTTTTAGAGCCTCTAAGAACAAATCACAGGATCAAGAGGAAGTTTCAATCATCTCCCTTCATTGCCTTCATCCTTCAAAATCTATCTATCTATCTATCTATCTATCTATCGATCGATCTATCTATCTACCTATCTATCTATCTACCTATCTACCTATCTACCTATCTACCTATCTACCTATCTACCTATCTACCTATCTACCTACCTACCTACCTATCTATCTATCTATCGATCTGTCTGTCTGTCTATCTATCTATATAATATCCCTGGAATTTTTAATGGGATTGTTTATTCTATTTAATGGGATATTAATGGGATTTTGACAAAATCCCTGGATTTTCTGTTTCCCCATGCCAAGTGACCCTCGTAAGCAGTCGACAAGGGGCCCTGGCACAGGTGGGGGTTGGAAACTCTCAGCAGGGTGAAACTCTCAGCAGGGTGAAACCCTCTGCATCCGGCCTCGGGGCTCATGGCGGCAACGGACTGGTCTGTGAAGAGCAAATTCCTGGGCGGTTCGGTGCAACTTAGGTGGAAAGATGTGGAAAGGCTTGGGTAATGAGACCGACAAATTTGTTGGGATGAAAGTCTGACTACAATGACGACAAAGTCAGAGAGACTTCAACAACCAGGAGCTGGCAAAAGTCCGGGAAATATGTTGTGGTATGGAATTTCTATTCATGATACTATCTCTTTACTGATCTGCATATTGTTACACCCAAACCTGGTAAACTGAAGCGGTTTCAATACTAATGCAATCACGTTTCAACCAATCAGACTTCAGCTTGTCTCGCTCGTCTTCCTCTCTCTTCTTTGCTGCTTCTTCTTCCTGAAAAGAAGAGGACCCTGCACAGACCCTCTGAACATGGATTGAAATCAAGGAGGTATCCACTGCAAGGACCGAACCCGTGTGTCCCAGTCAGCAAGAAAATGTGGTAGCATGCATCTACTGGCTTTAACTGCAACTAAGATGACAGTTTGTTCCCTATGCAAAACGATGCACGACTGAGAATGATCCAACAATCCCTAGGGCCCTAGGCCTTAACTCTGGCTTGCTTCTCCATCTCAGCCTTCTGTTCCTGATGAGACAGACTCAGCTCCTCCTGAAGGGTTGGGAAGATAAGCACCACCTGCGACGAAGGTCAGCATCCCAGATTTGGATAGATTTCATGAAATTTCATGACCTGACTTTTCAAAAGGAACGCAAAAGTTCCATGAAGTCCATGAAGAGCTGGCACCTTTTTTCCCATATGTGTTTCACAGATTACCCTCCTGTAATCATACAAAAAGATGTGGAAACCCCACCATGAAAGTAGATGATTATACTACAAAAAACATGAGTGTTCTACATCCATGTTAGTTTAGCCTAGGAGAACAGGAAAACACCATGGGTTTTTCACGGTTGAACCACCTTAAAAGGGGGGGGGGCAGCTGGCACGGCACCTGTGTGTTGTCCGCCGCATCAGCTGCTCGGGAGAAAGCATCGCTGATGGCATCCTCTCCCACTTTGTACATCACCGTGTCAAGCACGAACTTGTTGGCACGAACCAGCTTGGTCACCTCAACGCTTGTGAAAAACGGTTTGGTGGATGGATGCAGGATGGAACGAGCAATACTGATATAATATCTATGTGTATATATGTATGTATGTAAATGTAAATGTAAATGTAATGTAATGTAATGTTAGTAATGTAATGTAATGTATGTATGCATGCATGCATGTATGTATATATGTATAATATAATGGTGTGTATACCAATATATATACATAACTATATATACATAACTATATGATATCTTGGATATGTGGTGTATATCATATATATACTGATGTATCATAATGTGCATATATATAGCGCAATGTGTATGTGTGATATATATATATATATGTAGCAAAGAGTCGTTGGGCCTGAAGTTGGATTTAAGCCACATCTCAAGATGTTTCATTTCTGTCAATTTGTAGTTATGCCATTTCGTCAAGCAGCATTCTCCATCACTGCCATCATCTTCTTGGCGTTGCCGGACAAGGAATGGACCCAACGGGCGATGTTGAAGCCAGCGATTCGTCCACCCCAGGCTGCCAGGAGTGGGGGAGAGATCTCCAGTGGCTGAGCAACGCCATGGCCATAGACCACAATCTGAGCATCCTTGTCTCCTGACGCCAAGTGAAACTAGCGTGGTGACGGTGCTGAAATCAAACCCTCCATGGTTGAAAGTAGTGATACTAGCCGAATCCTTGCACAGTTATTCACTCACATACCTTGCTACTAAGATCTAAGACTACATCTCCCACCAAAGCCAACCAAAAGCACCAGTTGTTCCCCTCCTGACTGCAAGCAGTGAATCAGTTGTTCACAGGAATCCCTGGTGGCGATCCCATCCAGGGCCAACTTGGGCAACATCCGTTGGTTCCGGTCCCTCCACCGCAGAAGCGCCACGGCGTCGGGGAAGACCTCCTCAGCTCCCATGGTCACCAGCAGCTCGCTGATGCGCTCGTACTGCTGTCGCACTGTGGGAGGCGCTGCAGCACGGGAATCCACATCAGCCCAGGCGGATTTGGAACCATACTCGCCCTTGGCCAAGTTCTTCGGGGAACCTGCGCCAGAAGTTCTTGGAATTTCTGGGATTTGGGGCGAGTTGATGTCGCTGGAACGAAGTGGAACCACTGGATGATTTGGGCCGTTTCACAGATTGAAGATGTGGAAATATCCGGAAAGATCCATGAAAAGGATGATGGATGATGAGATTCCAAGATAAACAGGTTAAACCGTTAAAGCATGTTAAACCATCAAACATCACAAAGTTCACAAAGCCCTTGAAACACCTGTTGGAACCGATTGGAGCCCTGCCTGGAAGAGACAACATACACAGAGGTTTCAACTTCAGCAACTTGCACAACTGCAGCAGGGCTGAACCGGAGGCGGACAAATGCGCCGCATTGAGGAGGACGGAGTCTCCGGGTTTCAATTTGGAACCGAACTGCTCCAGCACTGTGTAGGCGCAGACAATGGTCGGTGTCAAGCAAATTTGCTCCGGGGTCAACTCATCCAAGATCTCGTTGGGAATCCTCAACAAGTCTTCTTCGCCACACGTCCTTGGTAGTTCGTCCATTTTTGTTGGCGTATGTTCAGCAGGTCTCATGCTGCAAACCTGCCCATTTTCAGACACGAAACTGCGAAAAATGCACAGTCATCCGACTCAAAGGATGGCAGCAACTGCGATTCTCTCCATGTTTCCTTTCAAAAGTCCCAAGTCTCAACCTAAAACCATAGAAAACCGCAGGTTTTAACCACATACCATTCCTTCGTCTAGCATCAAAAGTGTCCTTGCCGTGCCAATGGGATGGGACGACGAGAACTTGGCGGGTTTCGGCAGCACCAGCACCGGGTCGGTGGTCTTCAGGTCCTCGACCCGGGTCCCCGCCTGTTCCACGCGGCCCACACCGGTGACGCCCAGACAGACCCCCGTCTTTTTCAGGTCGGCGTAGACCATGGATTCATCCACGGGGACGGCCAACATACGCACCAAGACCTGGCAAAAAATGAACAAAAGAGGAACAAAAACATCAAAAACATCACTTCATCATACAGATTTATAATGATTTATAAAAATTATATAAATACGTTATGATCACCTGGTTGTGAAAGTGATTGCTATCTCGCTAGTATTTGTAGGTCAAGTACCAAATGTGCTGCTCCGTTCCTGACTTCATAGCATTTATGCAAGGACTACATTGGGCAAAACGATGGATGTCATCTGCGTGCCAGATTCAAGACAAATACATAGACAAATACATCTTAACTCTTACAACCAGTACGACTCTGCATTCAAACCACAGAGCCACACGAGTTCTTCCCCTTCATCCCAGTTCCACTTTCGTCCAAAAGAAATATATATATATATAGCGTGTGTTCAACCATTGAAAATCAACTAAAACCTCCAGTTCACCATCCTTGCAAACATTTCTCAGGTGTGTTTTTCTACAAAAAAAAACATCTTCCATTATCCCATAAGAATCTCCCAAGCATCTTCTCATATGTTTCCCCATGTTTTCCCCATGTTTTCCCCACATTTTCCGGCACCTCATCATGGTCGATGGTCTTCTTCAAGGGTCTGGGCTTCACCTGCACCTGCACCGCACCTCCCAGGGCCTGTCCGTAGGCGTCGGTCTTGGGCGAGCCCAGGACGTGTTGCACAGGGCCCGGGTGCGAGATCTTCGTGGCCAACTCGGAGGCGTTGAACAAATGGGTCTTCATGAAGTCCTTGTCCGTTAAGACCTGGGAAAAAGTTGAACTGTTGGAGAAGGTGAGTTGGGTTAGTATGGATTATATAGTTGGAGATGGGACATGGGTTTGAAACTGAAATTGAATATTTCTGTATGGGAAACCGAATGGGATAGTATGAGATATGATTCAATGGAGATAAAGACCTGCTGAGTTGAACATTGGATTATGGTTTTTGGAATGGAACCGGAGAAGTGATATACGGATGATCCGACCTTGGTGAAAGACTGGATGGACTTGGAGAGAGTTGGAGAGACCGATGGTTTATATCACACCATGTTTTTTAGTGATTCGTTAACCATCCAATCTTAGGGATGTAGAGTCTAATTTTGACCCACACCGATATGGATATGAATGATGGTTGGTTCATGGGATGGTTTATAGTTTATGATTGGGTTTCCCACATGATTAAAATAGGATGTCAATATCATTCAATATCCACCCCAGACTTTCGAGGATCAGTCCCACTAGTCGTCCAACTGCTAAAAAAACTTCCCCAGCTTTTATTGGGGAAGGGAATCGATCCTGCAACCCCATTTCTGATGGTGAAATCTTCATATTCCATCATATGTTCATCATATGTTCATCATATGTTCATCATATTTCATCATGTTTTATCACATAGCCACATAGCCATATTTCATAGTGAAATCCCCTCAAGTCAGCCCTTTAATAATCCCCCAAAACGCGGGCGACTTCGTCAATCCCAGCGACCATGGCTTGTTGATCACGTTGCCGAAGCCACTCTGCGAAGCCTTCCTCGTGGGTTTGGGTGCCCTGGATGATGCGATCCTGCAAACTCACGATGGCCTTTTCGTCCTGTTCCTGTGGCTGGGATCCAGGATGAAACAGGATGAAACATGGAAAATTCAATGTGTGGCTCTAGATATCTCTAGGTCTCTAGATCATGAATTCCAGGGAATATCACTGTTGCTATGGAACTTGCCACAAATCGGGACGATAGGCACAGAAACATGGAAACACTAGGCATTCCCATGTGTTCTCCACGTTTTTCGTTTTTCAGCTCTTCTCCTTGGTTCTAGGCTCAAAGTGGTGTCTGCCACCCGCAAAGCCCTCCACAAACTCCTCCTCAGCGGACTTCTCTGCTCGCCCAGTGGTGTCATATCGACGTCTTTTCTCGGTATCTGTCAAGACGTTGTAGGCTTTGTTGAGCATTTGGAACTTCTTGGGGTCTCCGCCCTTGTCCGGATGCTCTGCCAAGACTTTGGCTCGGAATTTGGACCTGTAAAATCCGGGAAAAACATATGATCGGTAGCCTATTTTTAAAAAGGGACCTGTGCAACTGGTAATCAACAGATCTTCATCCCCAAAAAATTGGAATAGTTTGGGCTTCTTCATATGTTTTGACCCATCCCCACCTGATTTCATGCAAGGTCGCATTCCGGTCCACACCAATGAGCTGGTAATAATCTGGTTCCGCCATTGCGATGTGACAAAACCTGTTGGAACCAGCCGATTTTTCGGTGACCCTGAACTTTCAACAGCCGCAGCACGAAAATCAACAGCCCCTCAGCCAGGTGCCCGGCCCAGATCCGAATGCCCAAGTTGGAAAGCCGATTGTTGGAAGGGACAGCTGTGTTTTAGAGCATGACCAAACTATACAGTATACAGGATGCTCCTTCGGCGACAGTCTCAACGCAGCAACCCTTATCTGGAACCACATCAAATCTCTCTGTCGGAACATTTCTGCCTGAACCAGCAAGAACGTGATCCTTCCAAGTGGATTTGTCTGAAAAATAATAGGCTTTCAACCCCCACCTGCACGGACTAACATTGTAGCATCATTTTTGTTCCCCATCAAATGAAGAAAACTTCTCGTATATAATCCATGGAAAAACCTATGATGACAATCCATGTTCAGTGGAAAAATATGATGATCCTCTGAGATTGCGACCTTCCGTACCTCCATCGAACAAGAATGGTGCGAAAATGGCAACGGCAAAACGGCAAGTTGATGGGTGTGGTGAAATTAGCAGCCCCAATAAAATGGAAAAGTGAAATCCTACTGAAATAGTGGGAAAATATGTAAATAACTTTCCTGTATTTTTTGGCGATTAATATGATAGATATACATTAATATTATATATATACACAATAATTCATAACAGTGTGTTCCACCTAAAGTTCACTGAAGGTGAAACTCTGCGTAAATTCTGAGGTCGCAGCTGCGTACCACTATTGACGGGCGTCGCGTCTCCTAACTGCCACAAGTCAACAAGCTTCGCAAACAACAAAAACGGCAGAAACTGCAGCTTGAAATCGGGGTTCATCGTGATCTGCGAAGCCTGAGGTTGCCACCTGAATGGTTCCATACCAAAGAGCATCCACCAGCTTGGCATCGCTTTGGTCTGAACATTCCTGGACAAAGTATGACAAAGTGACGGGTAAAATGACATGAAACGCTATCATCGAGATGGCCTACTTGTGTTGTTCATATTTTAGATCGTATGCAGTACATGAATGTACCCCTGATAATCGAAACTCCAAACTCCGAGCAAATGACCATGTTTGTTGTGGACATTGAATCAGTTTTCTATTCAAACCACAGCAAACCAATCTGACTGCACTGCAAAGACTGCAAAGACTCTCACCTTGTACCCAGTTTCGATATCGACGATGCACGGTTGATGCACAAAGTTGCCATGATGCATCAAGCAATGTGTTCATACAACTGACATGTTCTTGTGTTTCAAACCATGAGGTATACCAACCTCCCCTGATTTTTTCAAATGCTGACACTCTATGGCACTGTACGGAAAATAGAATGTTGGTGAAATGTTGGTCATCCAGCTTGCCTTTCAACATATCAAAAGAAATAGAGCCATGCGAAATATGCAAAAACTATTGAAAATGTCGGCATTGTGAAGATGTGCTTCATAAAATGAGTCGGGTTTTCTCAACCTTATTGAAAAACCTCACCCAGTCTTACTAAAATACAAATCAGAACGGACTTTTTATACGGACGCACCTGCCCTTTGATCCCTTCTGGCTGTTTCCGGAGCCCAAATACCAGCAAATGACGCTCAAGAACCAAACCTTCCACCGCACAAGACTGGAGCAACAACCCCCACATCGCGAAAGAAAAACCACCAACGTCTGTTCTGAAACTCTTCCGGACAAACACTGGAAGCATCTCGTTTGGCTCTGCTTTTCTGAAGCTTGCATCAGTGGATGCGAACTCGGGCCGTTCCCCAAAAAAACAGGTTCCTATTTCAGCCACTAAAACAGACGACCTCCTTGAGCGCACAAACTATATGATAGAACATGTTCAATTGTGCACCCCACTCAAACATCCCATGTGCACATGAAACTTGAGAACTCACTTGTTTTGGACGCACATTTGATATGTACTTGTCATTTTCGTTTTTAAATAATACTCAATCAACGAGTTGACGTTGTCTTCCATGTCCCCAGAGCCAGATACGGATTTTTCCTCGTGACTACACAAGCCATGTCTGGAAGGTGAAAGCCCACCGTTTCGCTCAGCTGCTGAGCCAATCCACCTCCTGACCCACCAGGGCCATCTCCTCTACTGAGATGTTGCGGACCATCCTCGGCACATGCCAAGAGCTTCACTGCGTGTTTTCAACGTGACATAGATTAGAAGGAATGACGAAACATGATGAAACTGTGATGAAACTGCTGCAAGCTAATTGGGGTTCAGTCGTTCAGTTCCTCTTCGGTGCATTCAGATCTCAGTGGGGTGAATTAGGTTTTCTCGTCGCAGAGTACTTGTCGGCGTGCGCTTGATAAAAATTCATTGATTGGGGCATTCGAAATGGTCCTACCCTGTAGTCCGTAAATTTAATCCTGGCAACGGGAAATCCGGCCGTTACGAAAAAATCTCTGTTTTCCGAGTCACATGCCGGTGCCCAAGAAGTTGCGATACGCCGCAGTTTTGCCGCGGAAATAGCGGAAGCCAGATCCCGCCGGGCTGGCCATAATCCATTTGACGCCTCAGAATCCCCGACTTCACTTGGAACGCATTGCCAAGGAATTGCAATACCTTTTGGGGGTCCATGGAAACAATTCAGGGGTGTCACCGAGAAGTAGCTTGAAGAAAATTGTCGTAATAACGGTCCTATAGTCGGATGGTGAAAACCACAATTTTCTGTGATTTTTCTTTACACCATCACAGTTACAGGAGCATTCTTTCGGTGGCTTTCCAGATATGGGCAGACATGGGTCAAAACTCAATCAGGCCAACAGTTACATGCCAACCTGTCATCGTTGTTTTGGGACATCCAATGTTCTGAAAAACCTGGGGGCTGCTCAAAACGTTTGAAAAAAAACGCCAACACTTGGATGACCATTCTGGGACCCACACCTTTCCAGGTATCATTTTTTCATGGCCATTTTATGGACCAGACACTGTTGCGTAAGAAGGAAAATTCCACATCATGCAGAACGACAACGCATCGTTCAGCCAGGTAGGGCCGGACCGCCTCCAGGTGGACTTGAGGCGATTCTGATGGGATTTTGATGGGATTTTGATATGCTGATTGACCATGATTGGCCATGATTGGCCGACCTGGCAGGATTTGGTGATCTGCTTCCACCGCTTCAAAATGCCGGAGCTTGGGGGGGTGAGGGAGGGGGGTTCGAGGGAAAAATCACTGGACTCAGGCCTGTCAGGCCTGCCCTTGAAGCAAGAGTAACTCCAGCTACCGCTAGCTTTCGTGAAATCCGTGGCATGATCAGTGATTGCCATTCTCATAAATGGTGCATTGTTTGATGTGTCTTCTCGAAAATTTACCCATCCAAACCCATATAGTGAAAAGGCTTCAGCTCGCGCACCTCAAAGTCCAAGATCAACTGTTCCAGTGTATGTAGGCCATCTATGAAGACCAATTCGTATCTCCGTGGCTCACGCATGGCAGCAGGCACATCTTGAGGCGAAAATCCAATGTGCAGATTCCTCCGTGCTGGTTTGGTTGTGCTATCTGCACCAACAAAATCTGGCCGGTGGTCAAAGGTGGCAATGGAAAATCCTCACTTTCAATTGGATACATCGTCTGTAAATAAATGATATTGCCTATTACCCCTATTACTAGTAGGATAAATCTTTCTGGGTGTTACATTACAATATATACGTACATATAATACATATTAAATTATAATATATATATATATACTAATATATACAGTGTTAAGCCCCATTTCACCCGCCAAACACACCTCATTGTTCATGGTTTTTTATCCATTGAAATCATCCCAATCATCCCATTGCTGGTTGATTGAGAACAGGAATCACCCACTGGATGGTGATATTCCCTAAATCATCTACCCTCTGGTAAACTAACAGTTTGCTATGGAAAATCACCATGTTCAATGGGAAAATCCACTATAAATCACCATTTTCAATAGCTATGTTAAATTACCAGAGGGTACCAACTAGCATTCTATATATTCTATTCGCTTCTATTCTGATATTTTTGGCTAAAATCTGCCTTATGTTGATGGTAATACCCTGGGGTACACGTTGCATAGATGTGGACAACCCACCATTCGTTGATCATTTTCCAAACGGCTTCCCCATGGGTTGTCCACATCTAAACATTTGGAGGTTTCCCGAAATAGGGCTACCAAATCATCCACTTTAAGATCCATCAACCATTCAGTTACTTACTTGGGGTACCTTTAATTTTCAGGATACCCCCACCCCAAAAAAATCGCTGTCATCAACAGACCAAGGTACACATTTGCCTGGATCTTCTGCAGAATCTTTCGCGACAGCGTGGACCCCACACGTGGGCAGTTGCCCTCCACCTCTGCATCTATCACGTCCAGCACCGCCGTGGGCCAGAGCTTGGCCAAGATCCTCAAAGTTCAGAAAACTGAGCCATGAAACAAAACGGGATTTAACTATCCAAAATTAGGGAGTTCACTACGAAAAATGCAGATTTCATGAGATTTAATGGGATGACATGATTTTTTATGGAACTTAATATGGAGACAAAACTAACAATTTCATGGGACGAACCAATAAATACTGGATATTGGTGGGATATCAACTGGAGGATTACTGGGTATAGGTTATAAGCAAGGGATTTTAACCCCAATAAGTTTGGATATAGAAAATGTGGAAAAAGGATTTAGAAATGGATTGGTTGAAGTAACCTGGAAACTTGGAGTATTGTTTCCCTGTTTGAAGTATCAGTAGAGAATTTAGCACCTCAACAAAATCGGGAAAACATATAAAGCGAGATCTTATCCAACCAAAAACAAAAAATGAGAAAATTGGAAGAACTGAAACAAAGCAAGAATTTCACAAGATAAAACTGGAAACAGGAACGCAAGCACAAAGGAGATGGAGGGATCTTGGCCCAGCAAAGAAAGTGGCGAGATAAACTGCAATTGTGGATGTATGGATGGAGAATATATCATGAAACATAGGAGATGGATGGAGGATTTATGCGGAGTACCAAAAAAATGATGACATTATTCCTCAAAAGGCTGTAATGCTATATATTTTTTCACAAGTGATATGCAGTTCACTTGAACCACGCGTCCGCAGCAGCGTACCCTAAGCTGGTTGCTTATTTCACTTTTGGGGTAAGAAGTGACCATTGTTCTCTTTTTTCTGCAACTGGGAGGAGATGAATATATTTGGTTATGTCATACCATTGCTTCATGGAGGAAAAGTGTTTGAGTTCCAAAATGGTGAAATGTTGGTAAAAGGATCAGAGATAACCTATGGATGGGATCGGCGGAAAATCTAGACACAATGTACGGCTGCTAGCGCTATTTCCGGCCGAACACGAGGGGCAACACGCCGAAAGGGAGAGGAGATGGTTCGTAGGGAAAAGGAAGGATTAAACATGATGACTGTCTGGATGTCGAAGGATATGACCAAGGTACTTGATTTAGGAGTCAGAGATACCGATTGAGGAGGGAATACATGATGGAAGAACAGGGTAAGAGAGAGAGAGAAAGGAGGTATCCGTTGGTGATGCTATAATATATATATATATTACAGGATTGGTCCTCGAATGTCAAAAAACAGGAGAACCAATGATGTAAATAACAAAATTGTTTTGGAAGTAAGAAAATGATAGAAATAGCTTATCCAACTAAAAAACAGAATAATAATAGTAATAATAATCATAATAATCATAATAACAATAATAATTGAAGAATCAATGATGTGAACGGATAACTCGTGCATACCAACCAACGAAGAGAACCATCCAAAACAAAATGAGAAAATTCAACCGACGATCGGGAGATCAATCACAAATTAAAGGCGATCGACTTGCAGATTTTCAAAAGAAAAAAGGGGAGATCAAACAACAAATAGGGAGATCAACGAAGCAAATGAGATGTACCATAGGTGACAGAGGAGACTGAGGGGTATCACACAAAAGAAATATGTTTATATAGAAACCAACAAGACTGTGTACACCTGGAATCTTTCAAACTGGACAGTCTACTCAACGCAAATTGCTTTCTCAAACCCACGAAGCGGTGCCACAAGTACCCACAAGAGAAGGCCTCTGCAATATACTTATACCGGTATACAGCCATAAGACAATAAACATGAGGAAACATCAGACACCATGAAAATCGCAAAACTAGTGGATGTGATCTGTACAGTAAATCACCGAATGTTGGAGAACACAGCAGGTGACTGAGCTCTACACAACCAATCAAACAATCATGTTCATCATGTTCATCATGTTCTCATCATAGCTACATGTAACTCGACGTTACATCAACGTCAAGGAGCGTGGTGGAATATCCAAAGGCATTGCCGATCTCAAAGATTCGATGAACAGGTAGACTGGGCAAATATCGCAACTTCTCGAAGATCTCGACATCAGCATTGGTCATCCCAGCGCCAAAGGGAAAGGTCCGCTCCTGTACCTATTCAGATTGGAGCTGGTCGAATCCGTTGGCCATCCGTTCACTCCCTTACCCCGGTGTGATAATGATTGAAAAAAAGAAAACTGGGTGAAATGTGAAATATATATATATAATTATATATATATATACATAATGGATCCGTCAATCTGAGGGTCTTTTTCTTCTCTGGGTTGGTTCGCTATGCTTCCTGTGTCCATGTCTGCTCCTTGGGGTCACAGGTGACACCCTTGTAGGCCTCCGCAAACTCTGGCGTTGCCGCAAGCATCCCTGGAAGGATGATTGGATGATGCTGAAAATATCTAACGCTTTCGGGAAAAGAAATTCAACATCATTATCATCATATAATGTTAGCTATACATAGCTATACATAGCAATTAGGTCAAATTAGCAGGTTCCTAGAATTGGGGGTAAAATAGTGAGTTAGTGTGCAAAGCTTTGCCAAGCTTGTATGAAACATATCATGCCGAAGCCTCTAAACGCTGGGATATCTCAGAAAATTGCCCAACCAGGCTGTGTTCTGGTTCAATAGCACTTTCAAGAATCATCCAAGTATCCAGTTTGCACAGTGCCCCAACGACAGATCCTGGCTATGCAACGACATAGTTTTCCCACAAGTAACAGCGCTTGCAACCACAAACCAAATTCACTATATATGTGGTGGGTATATCCTGTGAACAAACCATCAACCATGTTCCAACCAGCACTCCCTGGGATTGTTTCGCTCCACATCCAAGTTTCGCATGGAAGGAACCAGAGTGGATGGGAAATAGATGCCCTCAGAGGATAACTTGGAGGTGTTCCCGGGTTGGCACTAGATGGCTACCCTCTGGTAATCGAACAGTTTGCTATGGACATTTATCACTGTCAATGGGTAAATGATCTGCAAAGGGACCATTTTCATCCATTTTCCATAGCTATGTTGGATTACCAGAGTGTATTCAAAGGTTTTGGATAGAATCCCTTTCAAAAAAAGGATATGTTGGTGTTCTCAGCCCAGTTGGAAGTTATAGCTGACTCCTTGGCCCCTGGACATCCACCATGATGGATCTCTTGATGGGATGACTCACCCACAAAAAGGGCCACCATTGTAGTTTGGTTTATAAAGCCCCTATCTAACTGTAGATATATCCCCATATGTCATAGTTAGCTCACCTCAAGGCCTTGCATGTCCAGTGACCACATGTTCCGCTTCGTAGAGCGCATCGGTTTCATTCACAAGGCGTTCCACCTTTTTGAAGCGGGGTGTGCGGAAGGGAGCAGCACCAAAGATGGTTTGTGGATCATTTCGGATTAGGATCAGTTTTGGTGGCAATGGATCAAATACGTGTTTTGAACGGTCTAAATGTGGGTTTGGGGCAACAACATTGCGATTCAAACTGCAGCAAATTTGTCAGTATGTCAGTCACTACACGTGTCAACAGATGTCAGTATTTTTTACATATTGCGTATAGATTTGTATAATATATATATATACATACAGATACGTCAATTAATATGTTAGAATATATCTCAGAAGGAGAATGAGGTATGGAGACAAATGGGGAAAAAAGCAGGCAAGTACGAGGAAATTCCTCTGTCCCAAGGCAGCCAAAGAAATGGTTCGAGAGGAACGCAAGCCCAGAGGCATGTTGAAAATCCTCCGTCCCAAATATGCAACCCTGTTCAAAGAACTAGTCCGAACAGAAAACTGCTTGTGGACCACAGGCGAACGCATTTTCTCATTGGGTAAAAATGCGTATAGCACAACACTTGTCCCAAACACCAAACATCACATCAACATCAGCACCAGCACAGACCAAAGAGAAGTGACATTTGCAAACAAACATTGCCTGTACAGTCTGCAGTGACGCTCACCTTCAAAATATTGTCGTCAAAGCCCTTCCACGTTACAATACGACAATTTACACATACAAGATATATAAGCCTCAGCAACACAAATGTTAGCCATGCATGTCCGCACCTACCTTAGTAGCCTTAGTAACACCTTGCTCTCTCCACTTAGCAGAGTTCACCGCCCGCTTCATGTAGTTAACAATTCACGATCATTCCAAGATTGAAATAGTATTGCACCATAGGGCCCACCAAATCGGTCCTCTTTAATGTTGAAACATCCATTTTGCGCCCATTTTGAGCAAGCCATCTACAACCATCACGGGCTGGGATGGACCTGAAGCACCAGGCAGCAGAAAACTGGAACATTTGTCCAAAATTATATTGATAATATTTTTTGATAATATTTGATAACCATGGTTTTTGCAATTTCTACGACACTTTCCCATGCACAGTGGAAGTCGAAGTATCATCCGAAGATACCCTGCTACCCAGCTTATTAGCTCTTCAAAAGGTTGCCAGAACAGAATGGACCTGAGGAAGTACCCGCAAGTTGAGGATATTTCATATAGACCTAGACATAGACCTAGACATAGACATAGACCTAGACCCACATCTTGACACATCCACTTTGGCCTTGTGTTTTGGGTCGTGAAAACCACCTGATGAGATGCGAAAGAATGACCAAAACCATAGAGATCTATGGTATCAATCTTTGCCCGACCCGGACTCGTCCAATATTTTAAACATTTTTAAACATAGATCTTGGATCTTTGAGCAGAGTCGGTTTTTTGCCAAGTTTCCCTTCATTCATCCCCACACCCACCAAGCAAAACCTCTTGGTTCTAAGTCCTTCTCTGAAATTCATCAACAAAGCAATGAGAATTTGTGACATCATATCCACGATCCCCAGAAGGGTCTGCAACTATTATTAGGAAGTTTCTCTACCATGATCTTCTCTCCAAAAATTGTCAGGTATCATGGGTTGATGTTAGGTTAGTGCCACGCTCACAGAAACCCAAAGACACACAGCTGCCACAGCCAAACACCCAACCCACACCCTTAACTGACACACAACTGCCACACCCAAAAGACTCAACTGACACACAGCTGCCACACCCAAAAGACTCAACTGACACACAACTGCCACACCCAAAAAGACTCAACTGACACACAACTGCCACACCCAAAAAACTCAACTGACACACACAACTGCCACACCCAAAAGACTCAACTGACACACAACTGCCACACCCAAAAGACTCAACTGACACACAGCTGCCACACCCAAAAGACTCAACTGACACACAACTGCCACACCCAAAAGACTCAACTGACACACAACTGCCACACCCAAAAGACTCAACTGACACACAACTGCCACACCCAAAAGACTCAACTGACACACAACTGCCACACCCAAAAGGCTCAACTGACACACAGGGGTTTTCCAAAACATTCTCCAAATTCAAATGTTTTTTGCAATACCATCCTCCCAAGGGTTGGCATTTCACAAATGTTCCATTTAACAACAACAACAACAACAACAACAACAACCAAAAAACCACCACAACGAAACGACAACAACAACAAAAACAACCACCACAGCGACAACGACAACGACAACAACAACAACAAAAACAAACACCACCACCACAACGACAACGACAACGACAACACAAACAACCACCACAACGACAACGACAACGACAACGACAACGACGACAACAACAACAACAACAACCACCACAACGACAACGACAACGACAACAACAACAACAACCACCACCACAAAGACAACGACAACGACAACGACAACAACAACAACAACAACAACAACAACCACCACAACGACAACGACAACGACAACGACAACCACGACAACCACCACAATGACAACGACAACGACAAGGACAAGGACAACGACAACGACAACAACAACCACCACAACGACAACGACAACGACAACGACAACCACGACAACCACCACAATGACAACGACAACAAAAACAAAAACAAAAACAACCACCACACAACCACCACAACGACAACGACAACCACGACAACCACGACAACCACGACAACGACAACGACAACAAAAACAACCACGACAACGACAACCACAACCACGACAACCACGACAACCACGACAACCACGACAACCACGACAACTGACAACGACAACGACAGCGACAACGACAACAACAACAACAACAACAACCACAACCACAACCACAATGACAACAACAACGACAACGACAACGACAACGACAACAACAACAACCACAATGACAACGACAACGACAACAAAAACAAAAACAACCACCACAACGACAACGACAACGACAACAACAATCACCACAAAACAACGACAACGACATCGACCACGACCACGACCACGACAACCACGACAACCACGACAACCACGACAACCACGACAACCACGACAACCACGACAACCACGACAACCACGACAACCACGACAACGACAACCACGACAACCACGACAACTACCACAATGACAACGACAACGACAACCACGACAACCACGACAACCACCACAATGACAACGACAACGACAACCACGACAACCACCACAATGACAACGACAACGACAACGACAACCACGACAACCACGACAACCAATGACAACGACAACGACAACGACAACGACAACCACCACAATGACAACGACAACGACAACGACAACGACAACAACCACCACAACGACAACGACAACGACCACGACCACGACCACGACAGCCACGATAACCACGACAACCACGACAACAACCGCATTGCCGCAATGGTAGTGCAAGGGACCAATGGTCTCACCAAATTATTTTCGAAGGCTCAAAGACCTAAGACCCTGATCTTCTGCTTGATCTGATGTGTTGCTTTAGCAAAACTGCTGATTCCACAATAGGGCAGAGCTCAATTCCCCCATTCCCCTCCCGGAATGAGCCTCTCCCCATTGTCAGTCTTAGATTAGTACTCAGCTACACATCCAAATGGTTTCCGCCCATCATATTGTTACGGGGAAGTCAAGCGCTGCACTGGGAAATTCCCAAACTACTGCAAATGCTGGATTTTCCAGCCATGTTTGGCCCCCGTTTATATTAAACACCCCCGCAGAACCAGTTCAGTGATGAAACCAGGTAGGGACAAAAAAAAAATGGGGGGTGTTGTGTTTTTGAATGGGGCAAATTGGGGGAATTTTTGGATCAATCCTCAGTAATCCCAGCCTCAGAATTGGATCCTTCCAAACGATCGGGAAGCGTCCAACTTCTTTCCTCCGGTCGCCAAATTGCATCATCCGCAGCCAGGCACCCCATGAAGCCTCAGAGGTTCCCAAGAAAGACGCTGCTGGGTGGAGGACGGCATCTCCAGGATAACCATTGTGTGTTTGTGTATGTGTATATATATATGTATATATAATATAATACATATATATATATATCACTATGTGTATGCATAGGCATCAGGCTTGCTATACAGATTATATAGATACTCAATCTTACCTTTTGTGTAATCCCCCTGAAACTGACAGCCAAGATATGAACGTGAACCACCCCGGCCTTGGATTCGCCCCAATAGCCACATTCATGTGCTAAAGACGAAGGTTTTAACCTGACCAAGTGGGTTTTCCCAACGGCAAACCCACGCGACTTTCGAATTGGAAGGGAAAAATTGTGATGGTTCAAAAGCATGGTTTCCTGCAACCAATCCAAAATACAAGAAAATTGACAGGAAACCATCGAAAACCCGAAATTTTCAACCCCCATCCCATCCGTGGCTGTGCCGTGCCACCAGAGTGACCGACTTTTTTCGTGGAGGAGAGCTGGTACTGTGGTTGGCATCGGTGGTATTGGGCAGTGGCCTGGATACTCCTGTTGGGGTCCTGGCTGAGGGGGCTCGCGTGGACTTTCGAATGCAATATGGGGATGGGTCAAAACCCTGGTACCTAGTGAACCCCAAAATAGCTGGTAAATGGATGTTCATCCCACTAAAAATGTATCTATAGGTATTGACCCATAGCCATATTAAGCCAGGAAAAATGAAGGTGAACAACAGAAAAAGGGACATCCATCATCTTTGTTGCTCGCACTATCCCAGTGTTTCACTCAACGGTTGGAGCAAAAGTCCACTTGCAATGGGGCAATGGGAGTCAAAAATGGATGCTGCAATCCTGGAAATAACAAGGTGGCTGATTGGGCCCAGACAAAACCGCCCTTCCCTTTGATTCAAGGGGTTGCAAGCCTCTTCGGAATCCGTTGAACAATCAGAAACATGACATGTGAAACCTATGTAGGGTGACTTCCAACATGTGAAGCATCAAGCTTGCCTAACACAAAGTACATGACACGAAGTATGTCAAAATTCTGGGAATAGCAAATGTCAACCAAATCTCCAGCCTTACGAGCAAAATTATCTAAAAACGACCACTTAAATATGTGATGGGTCATGTTCCATTGCCAAGTTAGGTATTGAAGAGAACGCAAGTAATGCCCAAAAATTGCAATCGATCAGCAGTGCAACTGGTTAGCACTGGCTTTTAAAAATCATCCTTTGCGGTGAGTTTTGCTAGGCCTTGCCAGGCATTCTGCGCCGGGATGGCCATTTGGGCACCATGCAGCACCAAGCAATGGCCCATCACTTGAAGTCTTCGATTTGCAAAAGACAAATCTTAGAAAATGGATCTGGCATTAAAATTGGGTTCCTAAAATGTTCATGGTTTATCACCAGATGTCCAAGAAAAACCGCTTATTTGATGGTATACCTGAATATCATGGAATACCTCATTTTCAGAGCACAGACAAACCCAAATGATTGATTCTCCCTTTCAGACCGCCTCTTGAGGTTGACCCGCAAATTAGATCCATAAACACCCCACGCAAAAAGATTCCTTCAAGCTCCGGGAAAGTCGCCCACGGCCCTGAAAAAGAAGTGGTGCTTATATGTGCTTATTCCCTTCGGCCAAAAACTTAACTGATACCATGTCATGGAAATGAAGCGTATCAAAAACTTAGCTTATATAATTTGATCTAAACTTAACTTATACCCTCTGGTACAGAAACCTGTCATGGAAATTCCCCATGGGTTGTTGAAAAAACATCACATTCCAGCTTACCTTTTTCCCTGCTAAACACCCTTTAGTTGCTGCATAACCCAGCATCCATGATACATACAAACTCCAACTTAACTCGGTTACATAAGTACATACTATATTGCATTACACATATGTATATAAATATGTATATATATACATACATGTGTATATATATATACAGTATACCTATATATATATATACAGTATACCTATATATATATACACATATCTATGTGTACATATTATATATATACGTATGTGTATATACACAAGTACAATCGAATCATACACATATATATCAAACTATATCAATACGTTCATCCATTCTAACCTCAGTTTCCACGTCCCAAAGACCAGACCCTCCTAACCGTCCTGATCCAAGCCATTGATCTGCAGCGCAAAGCTGGCCATCCGCTCAACGATACCCAGTAGACTCAGAAAATTCACCTGCCACTCCATAAAACTCGAATCCTGCCAGGGTTCGTGGGACACCCGTTCGCTAAGGCAGGGGAACTCATGTTTGTAATCGCTAAGCTGGCGCAAATGACTGGTATTTAACGCATTTCACTGTTGGCTTTATGGTACATCAAGCTGCTGAACTTTTTTAATAAACCAACTCATAAGTGGGGGGTACCACCATGTGGGATACCCTACAGATGAAAAATCAAATGGTTTTGGGTCAGTTGACCCATGGAATCCCCTGCTGGTCACATCAAAGTAAAGATAAGTGAGATTTATCAATGTTCATCCCAAAAAAATATGGCAATTCATAGGTTTTGAGTCTTTTGAGCCCATGCATGGTGTTTGTTAAAGTGATAAATAGAAATATATAGATGAACTCTCCTACAGAATCCGAACGTAGTTCTGCAGGAATTGGCAGAACTTCACCCCTTGCCACCCAAAGAAAACATCTTATGTTCTCTTTGCAACAACATCCCAGCCGCGGCCTGGTGGGATTCTAAGCTCACCTTCTCCAGCCATTTCCAATCCACCAGTTCTTGAAAGATCTGCCGTGCCAAAAGCCCGAAGACGCTTCCAGCCACCTGGCCATCGCTGCACAAGCGCTGAAGATCCAGGCGAGGCACTAGCCGTATCCATAGGGACTCCGTCAGCTCGGGCTCCGGCACCTGGCATTGGTCTGGTGTCTCCTTTCTTGGGGGGGTAAATGTGGAAAGTGGAAATACTATGAAATATCATGAAATATCATTAAAAATCCATAGCAATGTTTGTTTTCATTTTGACAAAATATATGTAACAACAACAAAATCAACAAGGATTTTGTCAAATATGCAAGGGTGCGGCCAAACCCTCCAAATTGGGATTGGCTGTGGCTGGCCTCTCCCTTAGTCATGCCGCTTGGTCAATTGGACAAACAATGGCATAGGGCAAATGAGTGTATCAACTTACACCATGGTCAGCACCAGGGATTATTTTTTGTGTCAAACGGTGAATTGATCAATTCAATTAAATTAAATGTTCCACTTCCCAGCTAATCAGCTAGTGCCTCCAATCCAAATAAAACCATAAAATAAACAATTAACACTAACTCCCACCTTCTTTCACTGAAAAAATGTCTGGGTGATATTCTTCAACTGTTAACTGTTACACTGTTACACACAAATCCATTCACCAATTCCCCACCAACCTGCACCAACCTTCACCAACCTTCACCAACCTTCGCCGGCCTGGCCAAAGGATCTGCGCAAACGTTGCAGCTCACGATGTCCGTTTTCCCGCAAATTCACGCAGACCGTCGACAGGTTGACCAGTTGTCCAGCTACACGACACTCTTCCTGTTTGCTGATTGGGTAAACTGCCGACAATTCATCCATGAATTTTATGGTCATATTGGGATGGTTTATTATTGGATTTACCCACATCAAAAATGGATCACATCAAAAACAACTGCACACTTGGATTTTTGTTGGATCATTGGATCATTGGATCACATTCCGGAAGGTTCTCTGGTACAAGTAACGTGATCCATTTCTGGTGCTGGAGTTCCGATCATGAACCAGAAGAACTGGGCAAAATGTCCAAATCAAACCAACAAGTTGGGTTTTTCAATAACTTCACCCACGCCCTTCTTTCAGAGCCAACCCCATGGCCGTGACCTGGAAAAGATCCCCTTGAACTCTTTGGATGGCACTGTTGGATCGCCACTGGGAACCTTGTTTTCAAGGAAAATGGTCATGACTGCACGAAATTGCGGAAGTACATGTTTTTGAAAAATGAAATACATGACCTCAAACCCAAAAACAAAAAATAAATCGAGTTGTTCCATTCAGACCAAAACTACAGAATCAACGGCCGGTGGCATCCCTTCAACATGCAAATTGTCTATTGGAGAAAAAAAAACGCAAAAATGTTACAGCAGACCCCTTGCTTAATTCGGTCCTGGGAGAGTTTTGTTCCTGTTCCACTGACGCAGAGATGGATGTAGAGCCCGGTGCGCACGCTTCGCCACGTCATCGTCACAGATCCATGGCGTCACGGCCATGGATCATCCCGGCACGGCGAAGTGGTGGCAGCTAAATCCTCATGAGTCCTGGAATATTCCAGTTTTCTTTCAAAAATCTGCATATGAAAATTAAATTATCATCTGTTTGCCTGTCCGATCCGCAAATCATGATTGATCTTACTCAGTTTCATTGAGGTCTGGATTTGCAGTCAGGACATGTCAGAACAACATCAATCTATTGGAGAAATCAACGTGTTTGCTTACCAGAGACAAGGCGTTTTCACAGTAAGTGTAAAATCAAAGAACCGTAACCACAACAGCTGACACGGGACACGGTTTGACCTTTGGCCTCTTTCCTGTTGGGAAGTATGTTTCTGTTTGATAGAATCCATGCATTTTCTACATCAAAAAGAAATCATGATTGAGTCGAGTTTTTGAAATATAAATTGAAACGATGTCGTATGTTTGTGCTTCAATGTTCGCTGCGAATTGGGAGTTTGAGTTGTACTCCAGCTAATACCATGTTCAGTGGAACGTTCGTACGTTCACGCAACAGGCGGGATGAACAAACCTTTTTGCATCCTTTCAACCCGTCGCTTGGTTAGTCCCAATCCCTTTGGGTCACAAATCCCATGTCGTTGTTGGCCCACATCGCAGGTTTGAACAAGAATGGGTTGCACAATTCCAATCAAACGCAGAGCGAGTAAGGAAAAAATGCGAGAAAAAACTAGGCGACGTTTGCGCAAACTGTAGTGGAATGAGAGGGGTAGCAGAAAGCAGTGTTAATGAACAAAATAGAGTAGATCAAGAACAGAAGTACCACCTTGTTCAAAGTGGGCATTCAATACATTCTAGAAATTATATCGCACACACGTTTCTACAATAAAAACAACCCAGAACACGTGCTTTAAATACATATACATATATATATATATATATACGTCTTGAACTCCATTGCAGCACGGGCAGTGTTTTTTTTTCCCCACATCTTTGTGTGGGGTTCTTGTTTTTGGTTCTGCATCCAGTCCGCCGCCTCCCGTCCGCCGCCTCCTCCTCCCGCCTCCTCCCGTCGCCTCCTCCCGTCACACACAACTTGTCCATACACCACTTCTCATCACACAACTTGTCCACACACCACTTGTCTTCACACTACTTGTCCACACACAACTTGTCATCACACAACTTGTCATCAGACCACTTGTCATCACACCACTTGCTCACACAAAACTTGTCACAACTTGACATCCACCACTTGTCTTCACACCACTTGTCTTCACACTACTTGTCCACACACAACTCTGTCCACACACAACTTGTCATCACACAACTTGTCATCAGACCACTTCTCATCACACCACTTGTCATCACACCACTTGTCTTCACACTACTTGTCCACACACAACTTGTCATCAGATCACTTGTCATCACACCACTTGCTCACACACAACTTGTCATCACACAACTTGTCATCACACAACGTGACATCCACCTCCAGGCGTGGCACGTATGGCACTGGGCTGGCTCTGGTGGCGTGCTCGGTTCCGACGTGCCCAAGTGGCCGCCGCGGCTTTTTGCGTGGCAGGCGTGGCACCCCACATCTTTGTGTGGGGTTCTTGTTTTTGGTTCTGCATCCCGTCGGCCGCCTTCCGTCCGCCGCCTCCTCCTCCCGCCTCCTCCCGTCGCCTCGTCCCGTCACACACAACTTGTCCACACACAACTTGTCATCACACAACTTGTCATCACACCACTTGTCTTCACACTACTTGTCCACACACAACTTGTCATCACACAACTTGTCATCAGACCACTTGTCATCACACCACTTGCTCACACACAACTTGTCATCACACAACTTGTCATCACACAACGTGACATCCACCACTTGTCATCACACCACTTGTCTTCACACTACTTGTCCACACACAACTTTGTCCACACACAACTTGTCATCACGCAACTTGTCATCAGGCCACTTCTCATCACACCACTTGTCATCACACCACTTGTCTTCACACTACTTGTCCACACACAACTTGTCATCAGACCACTTGTCATCACACCACTTGCTCACACACAACTTGTCATCACTTTTTTTTTCGTCCATCGCCTCTTAGCTTTCGCCAGGTCGATCAACACGCTGTTGCATGTAGTTGGTTAGTTAAAGCAATTAGTAATTAGTAATTATGTTCATTCTTGGGACAAGAGCGAACCAAGAATTCGGTGCCGGAGAAGGACCAGATACACAGTCCAATGAGGTCATCACAATGCCAATCAAATCAAAAGAACCAAACAAAAGCAAAACAAACAAAAGCAACAACAAAACAAAAAAAAAACACAAAAACAAAAACCAAACCAACAAGAACACGCCAACATGAAAGGCAAAGTGATATATTGACCTGGCCAGCACAGTTGATGGAGGATGTCTATTGCACCATTGAAAAGATTGGTATGGCGAGAAACAACAAAACAAAAGAACAAAACCAGGAAGTAACATCGCCATACAAAGACTTGTGAGAGAAGCAACAAAACCCTGAGCGGAAACCAGGGCTCCCCCCTGCCAGGAGCCCCGAGATCACACAGAGTAGGCCGCACGGGCATAAAGTCTCACACACACACAACTTGTCATCACACAACTTGTCATCACACAACGTGACATCCACCTCCAGGCGTGGCACGTATGGCACTGGGCTGGCTCTGGTGGCGTGCTCGGTTCCCACGTGCCCGAGTGGCCGCCGCGGCTTTTTGCGTGGCAGGCGTGGCACTTGGAGACATCCATCTTCCTTTCACGTGGGTACTTGGAGACATTCATCTTCGTTTCACGTGGCAGGCGTGGTACTCGACTTACTCACACGCAACTTGTTCACACACAACTTACTCACACGCAACTTACTGACGCACAATTTGCACACAACTTGCACACATACAACTTACTCACGCAGCCGTGGCACTTGGCGACATGGATCGTCACTTTGCGTGGCAGGCGTGGCACGTATGGCACTGGGCTGGCTCTGGTGGCGCGCTCGGTTCCCACGTGCCCGAATGAACGCCGCGGCTTTTTGCGTGGCAGGCGTGGCACTTGGCGACATGGATCGTCACTTTGCGTGGCAGGCGTGGCACGTATGGCACTGAGCTGGCTCTGGTGGCGCGCTCGATTCCCACGTGCCCGAGTGGTCGCCGCGGCTTTTTGCGTGGCAGGCGTGGCACTTGGAGACATCCATCTTCGTTTCAGCCTTGGGCTTTGCCGCAGGCTTAGGAGTGGAAGCTGACCCTCCTGGTCGTTTGCTGGGATCCTTGGCCCAGCAGTCCTTGACTGTGCCCTTTCTTGCCGCAATTGTGGCAAGTGATGCCGTCAGAGCCCTGCATTGGCCCTGTAGCCACATGCACCCTGCTGTCCAGGTCGTTGGTGAGTCTCATTCTGGTGTGGTATGCCACCACAAACTCCCAAACTCTGGCCACTGTAGTTGCACCGCAGTGAAGCTGCACGAACTCTGCTACCTTGTCTGGCAAGTTTCGAAGGTAGAGAAGGAATTGATCCCCCTCATTGATGCGCAAGTCAGTGAAGCTTCCAGCATAGAGTGAAATTCTTCGATCTCAGCCTCAATCTCTCTCAATACATCCATAAGAAGAATGCCTCTCTGACTTCTTCACAGTGTACTTCAGGCAGGCTTCTCTGTATTGCAGCGCCTCTGGACGGCTCATCAAACTGAACTCCCTGCGCAGCTTTTTTTCCGTCCATCGCCTCTTAGCTTTCGCCAGGTCGATCAACACGCTATTGCATGCTGCATGTTGCCCATTAATGAAAGCAGTTGAAAATTCTGCCATCTTGGTGAAAAGATGAACAAAAAGAGACCCTACTGTTGGAGGACCTTTACACGGTCCAATGGGGCCATCACGATGCCGAATGAAAAACAGAAAACAAAACAGAAACCAAAGCAAACAAAACACAAACAAAACCAAAAACCAAACAGACCAAACACACAAAGAGCCACAAGCGGCATGATGAAAAGTGACCCGGCCAGCACGGTTGAAGAGATAATGACTTGTGCATCATCAAATGGATTGGTATGCCTTTTTTTCCTTCCTTCGCCTCTTGGCTTTCGCCAGGTCGATCCACACGCTATATTCGCATGCAGCATGACAGCATGTTTGCATTAATTGTTGCATCGGAATTCATCCATCTTGGTTTGAAAAGATGGGCCACAAGAGGCCGTGCTGAAGGAGGACCAGTACACAGTCCAGGGAGGCCATCACCATGCCGAATAAAAACAACGCAAAACCAAACCAGCAAAAAGAAACAACAGCAAACCAAACAAAACAAACAAAGCAAAACAAAACAAAACCAAAAACAGCAGCAAGGTGAAAAAGGCCCATCACCACAATTGTGGGATAATGGCTTTGCATCATCCGAAAGATTGGTATGGCGAGAAATAAAGCAAAAGAACAAGGAACATAACGTTAACCGCCATACAGGAGATGTGAGAAGAAGAAAAAAAAATGGATTGGTATGGCGAGAAGAACGAAAAGCGCCATACAAGAGACATGTGAGAAAAAGCAACACAGCACTGTGCGGAAACCAGGGCTCCCCCCAGCCAGGAGCCCCGAGATCACACAGAGCAGGCCACACGGGCATAAATTCTCACAGGTCAGGAGCAATCCTAAGACCAGCAATGACACAGTCACGTAGTCGAAGGAAAGGTGAAACGGATACCATCTCTGGGCAAGTTGCTTTCCTCTGGTGCATTGTGTGCGTTCGGCAAGTCAGTCGGGATTTCCCAGTCGGGTTCTACTCTCCAGACACCAAAGAAGGCGATTCCAGGCAATGGCGTGACTTCTTGCTGGGATCCAATCCGTTCCACAACTCGGCCGCTTTTAGCATGCAAAAGACTCGTGGGAAGACAAACATAGGTCGGACGAGAAGTGCGGTCCGCTGCATAGCAAATAAAATGATTTCGTCAAAGGGCACGTCTTGTCGTGGCACCCAAGTGTTTTGACCATCCTGTACTGCGGCTCTTTGCTGTTGCATCGCATGCTTATCCCGCAGCAGCCAATCAAAGTTGCTAT